GTGAAGTCATTTGGACTTCTAGAACTCAGGATATGGGCTAAAAATTGAACAGTGTCTGGGTTGTAGGATAAATTCAGACTTCTCTTTTGATGCTAAGATTTGAACTTCCAAATGGCAGAATTGAGTCTTGGACTCTTATGCATGTTTTAGGCCCATATCTTAGCTTTCTAGCCATATAAACCAAACTGAAATCCAAGATCTACAGCTCCGGATATGACCCCATGATTGAACAGTGTTTCACTTTGGACTGAACTAGCATCTCTTTTCTAAGCTTAGCCTTTTATTTGTTCTTTCACTTTCAATAGTTAATCATATCAATCAATCCTTTGATTTATGTGATAGACCTGCATTTAAAATGGATATTTATCATAAATTAAAGGTATCTTATATTATCAGACTTCTTGTTATAAAACATACTCTAGTTAAGGAGTTATTGATACTTTAAATGCAAAATAATAATATAGAACCTCGATAAAAATACACTTTTAAATATTAATCAAGAACCAGTAAAAACAGTCCCATTCGAGTGAATTTAAAGATCCTCCGATGATAAAGTAAATATATTTATAGGAAAAAAAATCAATGTCTTAAAGCAATTAATGACTTAAAAAATCTTTAAATTCAAGGAAGAAAGATGTTTATTCTTGAGTTTTAAGTGAGTTAATGCTTTGAAATCTATATGAGTTTATCTTAAGAGATAAGAAGTTCCAAAACCTTACCTGGATGGTTCAGAGGGTATTTATACCTTAGAATCTTGTCTCGTTTTAGCTAAGAAAAAGATTGGAAAGGCTTCTGCTTTCAGCGGCATTGATGAGTGACAAATATCTTTTACCTATAGTTAATGAAATAGCCTATGAGCATATGAAAATCATTACATCACGTATAGTTAAGGAAATAGTAAGTACGGTAGGTTTCTTAAGAAACCTTATATACACCTATGAGCATATGAAAATCATTACATCAATAGAAAAGATTATTCTAGATAGAGAGGCATTCTGGTTTATCTTATCTTTAATATTTTTATTTTAGAGGGATTGTCTAGGATCAAATATATAGTCTTAGAACTTGATAATGGTTAAATTCAAATGATTTTGATCTGGTATGTTTGCCAGACTCATATTACCTTGGGCTTGGTTGACTGTCAAGCCCAAGTTCCTGGGGTCTTTAATGTTTTCTAAACTTATGCTACCTTAGGTTTGACTGATTGTCAAGTTCAAGTTCTTTAGGTCTAACATGTTTTCCAGATTTAAGGTATCTTGGGTTTGGCTAACTGCCAAACCTAAGTGCTTTGGGTCTGACATGTTTGCCTGATCCACACTACTTTGGGCTTGGCTAACCGCCAAGTTCAAGTTTCTTAGGCCTAGCATATTTGTTAGATCCACGCTACCTTAGGCTTGACTGACTCCCAGGTCCAAGTTTTTTTAGTCTTACATGTTTATCAATATAACGTTACCTTAGATTTGGCTTGTTTGTCAGACCTATGACATCTTGGACTTGACTAATTATCAAGTTCAAGTTCATTGGATTTGATATATTCACTAGACTCATTTTATTTTTAAGATCGTTTTCTATTTATAAAGATCTTAACCAAATATTTTGACTCATAAATAAGTATTATGAGTTAAAAACGCATCAATATTTAGCTTAGTTAGACTTTAGTTTAATGTTTTTCTAATTATTTATAATCATATATTTTAAATACATAATATTGAATAATATTAACTAATGAGACAATATAATTTGTAAATGATCATGTTAAAATAAAATAAATTAAGTATTATGATTTTATTTTTATTTCTTATGTAATTCTTTCAACAACAAGCATGATATTTATTATCTAGACTAAATTTTTATCTACATTTATTATAAAAAATCAAATTAAAAAAAGAGATAAATAGTAGTAATTAAACTTGAATGAAAAGAAAAGCAAAAATTGTTGATCCTAACAACAAAATTTACATCATATGTAGATAACATGATGTTTATTTCATTCACTATATATATATATATATAGTGAATGAAATAAACATCATGTTATCTACATATGATGTAAATTTTGTTGTTAGGATCAACAATTTTTGCTTTTCTTTTCATTCAAGTTTAATTACTACTATTTATCTCTTTTTTTAATTTGATTTTTTATAATAAATGTAGATAAAAATTTATTCTAGATAATAAATATCATGCTTGTTGTTGAAAGAATTACATAAGAAATAAAAATAAAATCATAATACTTAATTTATTTTATTTTAACATGATCATTTACAAATTATATTGTCTCATTAGTTAATATTATTCAATATTATGTATTTAAAATATAAAATAAGAACCAAAATTTAATTAAAAAAATATTGAAGGACAAAATTGAAAAAAAAATTAAGAAAATGATTAAAAAAGAGCAATTAAAAAAATGACTAAATCTAGGAAAAGAAAAGTAAAATAAAATGTTGAGTGACAAAATTGAAAGGAAAAAAAACAACAATAAAAAGAATGAGTATCATATTTGATATATAAACAAAACAAAATAAAATGAAAATGGATGACCAATAAAAAAAGACGATCATAATTGAATTTTTTTCTCAATGTTTTTATAAAAATAATACCATTTTTACCTTTTAGTTGATTAAAAAATCAAGCGATTAGCTAGGAGAAAATCAAGTCAACACTTATTGATTTTTCCTTTACCATTATTTTTTGTTATCAAAATAATATTATTTTTACTTCCTGCACAATAAAAAAATTTGATTGATGTTGGTAACCTCAATCATTCAACCTAACTCATGACCCAAGATATGATGAGGGTCGATTCCCGAGCTAGGTTTTAAAAGCATGATAAAAAAATAAACACCAAATATGATATGAAAATTAAATAAAATTAAATAATGAGGGATGAAATTGTTAGAAAAACAATTAAAAAGGAAAGAGAAGTCAAGAAATTGTAATAATAAGAATGATGATTAAATTCAACAAAAAAAGAATTAAAATCAAATGATTATAGATGAAATCAAAAAAATAAAATCCAACAAGAAAAAAGATTAAAAGCAAAAGAAATTGGAATAAAATAATAAGGATAAGATTTAATTAAAAAATAAAATATCAATAAATAAAATTGAAAAAAAACTAAATCAAATTCAATACAATTAAAAGATTGAGAATCACTTTGCAGTTTTAAAAGGACAACACATTATTTGAGATAGAAGAGGGAGAAAATAGGAGGAGGAGAAAAATTATCGTTAAAGTTCCACTGTGCTCTTATGACTAATACATGTTAGCCCACTATGCATGGAGTGGCGCGCCGCTTTGAACATCGTTTTTAAAGGCTATCAACGACTACTAGGAGGCGTCACATGCCCTGTCAAAGAACGTAGACGCCTCTCACCTACTAACTGATTATTTTTTTTATTTATAAAAAAGATATAATATCTTTGACCTTACACGATAATTGAAAAAAAAAATCAAAAAACCAAAAATATCCCTTATAGATGAAATCAAAAAAATAAAATCCAACAAGAAAAAAGATTAAAAGCAAAAGAAATTGGAATAAAATAATAAGGATAAGATTTAATTAAAAAATAAAATGTCAATAAATGAAATTGAAAAAGAACTAAATCAAATTCAATATAATTAAAAGATTGAGAATCGCTTTGCAGTTTTAAAAGGACAACACATTATTTGAGATGGAAGAGGGAGACAATAGGAGGAGGAGAAAAATTATCGTTAAAGCTCCACTGTGCTCTTACGACTAATACATGTTAGCCCACTATGCATGGAGTGGCGCGCCGCTTTGAACATCGTTTTTAAAGGCTATCAACGACTACTAGGAGGCGTCACATGCCCTGTCAAAGAACGTAGGCTCCTCTCACCTACTAACTGATTATTTTTTTTATTTATAAAAAAGATATAATATCTTTAACATTACATGATAATTGAAAAAAATCAAAAAACCAAAAATATCCCTTTATTACCGGGAAAATAAATTAATCCTAAAAGTTATGAGTTACATTGTACCCAAAAAAAATATAAAATTTTGAAAAATACCCCCACACATTGGTTGTGTTTCTTTCTTCTGTCAACGACATAGAAATAATTATATTATGCAATAAAAATATAAAAATACAAAATTAAGCCCCAAATGTTTGTTTAATTATTTAGTTTTTTTTAAGAAAAACAGTCATTTTACTGCGTATTGTACTGTGCGCAATCTACAGCAAAACACCCATGGCTTTTAGTTTTATTTGTAATTTGTAATTGTAAGAAAATATCCGACTAGCCACGCGGTACAATCCCATTTGACAATCGTTCCAGCTTGCTACTGCCTTCCTGTATAATATAAAAAATAAAAATCCTCCCTGTAGTTTCTCGTCAGCAAAACCCCTCAGAAGCAGAGATGGCAAGATCGGGATTGTTGGCTGTTACTCTGCTGTGGACTTTAGTCCTTTTTGGAACCCTAGCAGTCACCCAGGTATTCTAATCTATACCTATTTTATTGTAAGATCACTTGTTTGATTAATTTATCTGGATCTGTCAGCTACGATGCTCCATTGATTCTGTAAAAAAATTGAGATTTCTTTTTTTATGATATTTCATTTCTCTATTTTGGTTGCTGATTGGCAAATGAATCTTTGGCAACAATCGGTGGAATATTGTGGATATAAAGCTAAAAATCTGAGTTGCCTTTTATTTTTAGGCGAAGAAATCGAAAGCAGATTTAAAGGAGATTACCCATAAAGTTTACTTTGATGTTGAGATTGATGGAAAACCAGCTGGTATGTTTTTTTTTTTGTGAATTATATTGAAAATATAATTGGTTTTTTTGTGCCGGTTTCATCTGTCTCTCTCTCTCTTGTGAGTTTAAAACTATGATTTCACCTTGTATATTGTAATTCGATCACACAAAATCAATTTTCTAGAAGTTCTATGCTGTAATAATAGTTATTTTGCTGAATGAAAATCTTTACATCGGTGATTTGAAATTGGGGTCGTTTTATGGGTGATTTTATAGCATGGAAAAATTCCCCCATAAAACTGGATCGCACAAAGAATCCTAAATCCATCCCGAGCCTTCAGTTTGTATAAATAATTAGAAAAATAACTTGAAGTTTAGTTTGTATAATCTATTCCTTTTACAAGTTTTGTCGTATCCACTTCCAGTTTGAAATTAGCTGCACTCTGTTTGTAACTTTACTGAAAATTCCGTGATGAAGTTGCTAGGTGCCTCTGCTTTAAAGAAAACTGGTCTATTTCTCTGTTTATGCTTGATGGAGTTTCTGGCTTTCAAGATGATGTTTGATATCTCTGAGATAAGGACAATATAGTTGGCAATATTTATTATTAGAGTTAAAATAACTGTGGAGCTTTTTCAGTTATATGTTTTGCATTGTTTTGTTCTCGAAATTTGTTTTAAAAGATAACACATCTATTCATAGGTCGCATTACCATGGGACTATTTGGCAAGACAGTTCCAAAAACCACAGGTATCATTTTCCGTCTGTTGAATTTGGTTTCTTGCTTGTTTTTTTTACTTGATTCAGAATGTTATTAAGTAGTTAATATTTCCACTTTGCAGAAAATTTCCGGGCACTGTGCACCGGTAAGCTGCTAAACTAAGCATCTATTTTTATCTACATTTTTCTAGTGATTAAACATTTCCTATCTTCATCATGATTAATCCGTTCCAAAAGTAACTGGACTTTATTTTTTTACTGAACATATAACATTTCTGCCATTGTCAACTCTTGAGTTTTGATTGTCTAATTGTTCATGAATATCTAACTGCTGACATGGAAAGTTGTAATATTCTTGAAAGCCCTACAGAGAACAATAAAAATGCCTTTTTTCTTTTTGGCTGGACCGTTTCTTAGAAATAGAATAATATATTTGGCTGTGGTTTCTTTTTCATAGAATGACCCCATGATCTTGGCAACATACAAGGAACATGTAAAAGCTGATTTCGTACCATACAATTATTTTTATTGCAGGGGAAAAGGGTATTGGAAAGGCTGGGAAACCGCTTCACTACAAGGGGAATGTATTCCACAGGATTATTCCCAGCTTTATGATCCAAGGAGGTGATTTTACACTTGGTGATGGAAGAGGGGGGGAATCAATTTACGGGGAGAACTTTGCTGATGAGAATTTCAAGTTGAAGCACACTGGCCCTGGTAGGTGAAATGTTCTGTAGTTTTCATTAACAACCTCGTGGTTGCAAGTATGATGAACATGATCTACCTGTGTATAGGGATTTTATCAATGGCAAATGCTGGTCCTGATACAAATGGTTCACAATTCTTCATCACAACAGTGACAACTAGCTGGTAATTACATGTACTTTAAAAAAAACAATTGGTGTGAGATGCACCTGCAACGCTGCTCTAATCTGGTTCTGATTGTAAACTGAGTATTGAAACTGTGTACAGGTTGGATGGAAGACATGTTGTGTTTGGTAAGGTCATGTCTGGAATGGATGTGGTTTACAAGATGGAAGCTGAAGGCAGGCAAAATGGCACCCCCAAGAGCAAGGTAGTCATTGTAGACAGCGGCGAACTCCCTCTATAAGTGTTCACCACCCTTGCCCCGGGAACCCACATAAATTGGTGGCAGCGGGAGTTATTTTCACCTCATGTACAAAGAAGGCCGCTTAAGGTGAAATCGTTGTGCACGGAGCTTTTAAGTTTGTTTTAAATGGCCGCTATAAAATGCTTTCACGTGCTGACAATGTACCAAATGCAACTCGAAGATTACCAGTGATGGATTGTTATTTGGCTCATAACTATTTTGATGCATCAAGTACAGAAGATTTTGGTTAGTTAAGTTTATATATTTATTTACCTAATCAGAAAAAAAATATTTATGCAAAGTTCACTCAAGTAACTTTTTTTTAATTTTATTTTTTAATAGTAAATGAGATTTTTTGATTAAGCCTCAACCAATGATTTAACAAATTGTGAATTTAGATAATTTAACGAACTATAAATTTAGAAGATTAACCGGTTGGAAGATCCATTTAATTACATTTAAGTTTAGTTGTTTTTTAAAAAAAGATTTATGTTTTTTTTTTAATTTAATTATTTAATATTTATTTTAATTGAAGATTTAACTTTATTATTTTTTATTTTTTTAGAATTTTTTACTAATTTAAAAAATAACATCTATTGTCTCGGGTCTTTTATTTATTGTTTTCTATTAATTTTTTTTTAAAATAAATTTCAGTTTTGAACTAAATTAAACCAATTACTCAAATATAAAAATACTCTAATCACTTTATCATATTTATTGAGTGGTTGGTTGATTAGAATTTTGTTTCAGTTACATGGATTTCATATCCTAAATAAGTTTTACAAGTTAACCACTAATCTGAATTGTGCCCATATATCATTATCTAAGTATTATTTTTAAAAAATATTTCATTAAATATATCACCATCTCAGATTCATGTATGTTTCTAATAGGCGTAAAACGCAGATGAAGAATCTATAACTAATATGGTATGTGAACTTGGACCCTTGCAACCAATATTGCTTGAACCAAAAAAAAAAAAAAAAGGGATTGACATCTTCCATGTAGGCAGCTTTGTCTGAACCTAACCAGAAAAAAATCAAAGCCGCACAAGACAGTTGCCCCGACCACTCACAATTCGAATATTTTTGGCAGTCGGAAGTTAAATTCATTTCCTCTTCCTTTCTTTTGCCCATGTTGAACTGTCCACTAAACCAAATTCATGCCATTAATTCACATCTTAAAACGGATTTACCTCACTCGAGTTCTTTAGCACAAAAAACAACTGAGCGAACGGATTGTTTAACAAAGAAGAATAATTTAACTACTGATTCAGACCATGCTGAGAGAAAACAAAGAGGGAATTATCTTAGCCTGCGGTGTAACCAAAAAGGTTCATCGTTTCCGCAGTATTAACAGCCTCCGAAGACTGCTCAAAGTGGTTCATGTTGCATTGATAGCAGAGATTAATGTTCTAAGAAACTAGAAGCACTAGAGATCAGGGCAAAGACACGATATGGTTTGAAGGACCAGACCTTTTCTGTCTTATCTATCATACAAACTTGCCTGCTTTTGTTGCCTTTATAGCTTTATCAGTTGAAAGAACCCATCCCAAATCTAGATATCTCAAGGTAATAGCAAGCTTGAAAAGGATCTGCGATGAATCAAAAGTTCTTTATGCGTTACAATCACCTCACTACCAGAACCACCATAACACTTTTTTCATCTCTGTCACAACCTGGATGAACAAATAATTAACCTCCTTTTTTAATAAAAGAAATATGAGAACTATGGCCCTTTAACCTCAACCCTCAATCTTCATCATGTGCTACCTTGAAAACGTCATCTCTATCTGCCTGTAGAACCAGTTGTTGATGACCTGTATCATGTCGACAATTCGCATTTCCTTCCTCTTGCTCCTCCAACCATGTCTATTTCACCACCCAGAAAAAACAACAAATACATTTCCCTTTCCACAGAAAAATTTCATCTAGAATTTATTGCCACAGATCAACCATTTCCAGAATTCGAAATGCATAAATAACATCTACAACTCACCGTACATGTCAATAAGGAAAATGACATTCTTTGGAGTACTAACATAGCTATCCTATGACCAGAGAATTTGTTACATAGAGGGAAAGTAGGTTTGTTAAGAACTTGTCCAATAAGACAGCATTCTCACAAATCGAAGCATATGGTCTTGGGGAATCAGAATTTGCGTTTTGCATATTTTTCCATACTTCTTGAGAAACATTACTTGATGGCTTAGTTTTATCATGTCCTAATTGAAGGGATGTCTTCAGATTCCCCCTGGGCTCCTGCCTATTAACCTAGATAATACACACACAAAACTTGGAACCGCAGATTGATTAGCCTTAACACGAACCAGTTTTTTAAATATGTTAGACAACATAAAACCAGCCTCTAACAATGACTGCCAATATTGTGAGAACAATCCAAGTTCCCAAGGCATGCCAATAGTCCAACTATGCACACAACAAATTATGTACTTTTTTTCAGTCAAGATAGCTAAAAGGTGTTGAGAATCGACCTCCTTAAAGGTTTTCAGAATCTAAAAGCGAAGGCCAAATACAACAGACTGGCATGAATATCTAAATCATAGTTAACAATTTGATAGCTCCCCTAATCCAAGTTCAACATCCATATTATCGTCCACAAAGTCATCATATGGAAAGAAAGTATATCTAGCAGTGCTGGTTGCAGCAACAACTGTCCAGCAAAAGCAGAGTCAAAGATTTGTCAGTTCACCTCGATCCTACTAAGTTTAGGCCTGAATAGTCTTTTGCAGTCACCCAAGTTCCAACAGAGGGCCTGTTTAAGATGCTCAAACAATCACACAAAAAGCTGCAGCAACCACTTCCCATAACCATTCTAAAGAGCAGGGAGGTTGCAGAATTGAGACATGGTGGTAAAATATGCCGCAACATGTCACTTCCTCTCTGTTCTCCAGATTCCAATACTACAATGACACTACGTTCCAAATTCAGTACATGTTATCATTTCAGAATTCAAAAACATGAAACTTGACTTCATCAATGCATCTACAAAATTATATTCTACCTACAACCGACACAATCAGCTTCGACAAAATGCTGCATCAATTCACGACTTCATTTTGTACCCTCTCAACAGTATCATAAACAAGAACTTTTTAAGGAGCAAAATCACAGACCTAGCTACCTGATTGCAAAATTTCTCCCATCCATCCGCGACAGCAACTGAATCAATAAAAAACATGGAAGCAAAGACAAAAGGTAAACAGAACATAAATACCTTATTACGTCTGCGGGGTTCAGGGATACAATGCAGTAAAACCAGCCTTCATTCATCGTCCTTATAAAACATAACAACAAACACCGTGTAAGCATACATAACCATCATTATCGCCACCAGACCTCCCTCTCCATCACAGCCACCCACCAGGAGACTGACTAACTTATAAACAACGACTCGAAACAACACAAACTGACACACGGGACAGACAATCAGAACAGAATCAGAGATTATTATTAATTGACTGACTACGCATGATCAAGTAGAAATGATCGACATTACTTTAACTGATTGATTTCAAGACTCGTTGCTACTGTTCTCCAAATTGCTTTCTCCTCCATTCTTGACACGACGCCGTTCCTGAACAATATTGGAGAAATTGACTGATAAATCGGAGTAAATCGACATTACCTTGGATATATTTCCATTAATCTCGCAAATTAATGAAACGTTTCTAACAAGATTATCAGGAATCCTCGACTGGTGATTGGCGTTCACTTGTTGAATCAAGTCACGGTTGTGATCCAGCACGCTCTGCACCTGCTTGAAACTCTTTCTCAGTGTATCCCACGCCTCAAAGTCACACTCCTCTTCCTCTTCGCCGTTCTTTGCATCTCCTCCGCCATCTTTAACTCGCTTTTTGTTTGGTTTTGGTGAAGCGATGGCGGTGCCGGTGGTGTTGTCCATGGTAGGCACTTGTTCCTCCTCCACCAGTGATGATTATTCAAGCTTTGTCATGCATATATGTGAGTCCAGACTCTCTCTCCCTCTCGATTTTGTCACTCAGGTTCCTTTTTCTAGCAGATATGGTGAAAATCAAACTCGCAAGTCGTATGGTTGTTCTTATATCTTGTGGTAAGAGAGAAACAGCCCGGGTCGAAGACTAGCCGACTTGACTTGGTGGTCTGTGATCGTTGGCTGTGATTGGAGAAGTTGACAGCCCAATTGGGTGTTTGGAAACTATTGGCTCGTGCTATTTGGTGAGTTTTGATTGATCGGTCAAAGGAGTGGTGATGGTAGCTGGGTAATTGGAATGATTCTTTGAAAAAAAACAGCGAAAGTGGTGGGCCTTGCGGCTATTGCATTGCTGCCGAGCTTAGATATTTTTAAGTATCTCAGAGGAGCTGTCTCGTTGGCTGTTACTTATGTTAGAATAATAAACATCTTCTCGTTATAAAATAAATAAATAAATATCTCTCGCGGGTAGCGGTGCAAGGCACGCAGTGAGCGGAATAGTAATAACAGGCCGTGTTTTTAATATTGTTTTTATTATTTAAAAATATATTAAAAAAATATTTTTTATGTTTATATATAAAAATAATATTAAAATATTAAAAATTTTAATTTTAAAAAAATAATTCATATTTGTTTTTAAAACCCCATGCCTAGTTGTGTTAAAAAATAATTCAGATTTTTTTTTTTAAAACCCCATGCCTAGTTGTGTTAGGGTACTTGGACACGCGTTGATTTTGAAAAACAACAACATGAAATTATAGTGGAACGGTGGGTTTTAGATTTTTTTTAATAATTAGCAAAGTAATAAAAATAATTTAACAGGATAATATTATTTAAAAAAATTAGCGTGATCCTATATTTTTATCTTATCATATTTAAGAAGTATAAATTTTATTAAATATTATTATTTTCAAATGCAACAAAATAATTATAACACTTTAAAAAATAATATTTAATAAATATTATGATTTCAAAATACAACAATTTAAAATGAATTTGTAAAACAGATGGACTCACGCACTCCTCTTTCTCTCTTTTTAGTTGTGTCTAAAAAAACTACAAGAAACTTTCTAGAATGTCTTCTCAAGAGATGGTTGCCATTAGAACAATTCTATTCAACAATGATTCCATGTGTTATAATTTTTTTTTAAAATTTTTTAGACTACATATCCATGTTTTATTATTATTATTAATATAAGTGTTTGGATTAATTTGTATATATCTTAATTAATCTCACAAGTCTTATAATTAACTATCATATAAATTTTTAATAACCCTGAAATTTATAAAACTCTAAATAATTTCTAAAAAATAAATTCATGATTTAATCAATTAAATTATATCCCTCTAGATTATAACATATACATATACACGTTGTTGATAAAACAATGGATGCATGAAAACAGCTTCTTATAAGTCCTTTCGATTCAGAGAGTGCTAGACTATACCTTAATCTATCCTAATCTCAATAATCTTAAATCATGTCAATCACACCATTTAATTTATCATTCTATTACTTGTTATTTATTTGATGTTTGGATTTTAAAGTGGATCGCGCTCGGTTGCAACTTGCACGCCGATATTACTTGAGAATAATATGGCAGCACACTCCCTTAGTAACTTAGCTTTACTATCCTTTCTATGAATATCATTGGATTGAGAAGAGTCCATTTTAAATAGATCATACAATATTGGTGGCTTGTCGCCAGCTAACTTAAATTTTTTAATAAAAAAATGATTATGATCTTAAAAAAATAAAAAAAATCAATAATCAAGTTAAATTTTGATTAATTTAATAAAATATTAAAAAATAAAATAACAACAAAAAACAAATAAAAAAAATATTATTCTAAGCAAAGTTAGGTTAACAAGTGAAATACATAACCTGGACAAGAAATATGTCAAGATTATATATTTATCGTGAGTTCTAAATCATAAGATCAAAATAATTAGATAAAAAAAGAAATTGATAATAAATAAAAATAAAATTTTAAAAATAAAAGAAAAATATAAATAAAGATATTTAATAGCACAACACAAGTCATTTATTTAGTTATATTTAATAAATTTATTTATTAAAATCAATTTATAATAGAAATTGACATACACATAGAGTTTATTAAATAATAATAAAAAATACTATGTAAGGTTGGACATATTAAAATATCATAAAATAAGTATTTTTAATTAGTATAAATAAATTTAATTTATATGAAATAAAAAATAATAATTACACATGAATTATACTAACCTTATGAAAAATTAAAGACACCTAATACAATTAAAAAAAAGTTATTTAAAAAGGTTAAATAAGCTAAAAACAATTATATGGGAGTGGTACTAATTAAAAAAAAAACTTAAAAAATATTTTAAAAATACATAAAAAAGGTAATAATTGAAAAAAATAGAAAAAAGGGAAAAACCATATGAATGGCCTATAAAGCATAATCACGTGCTCTTAAGTCTGTTGTTTTTTTTTCAAAGAGGTGGGTAATAGGGTGTCCACCCTTATTTTTTGAAAAAGAATAGGTAGATAACACGTCGTCGCACATTTTGGTAGACGACATGTTAATGGTGGCTAAAAAAATTAAGTCCACGCGCTCTTAAGCCTGCTATTTATTTTTTTAAAGAGGTGGATAATAGGTTGTCCACTCTTATTTTTTGGAAAAAAAAATAGGTAGATGACACGTCACACATTGTGGCAGACAACATGTTATTTATTAGCCTAGAATAGTGGCTAAAAAAATCAAGTTCACGAGTTTTTTATCCCAAAAAACATGTTTTCTAACCCATTTCAACCATAAAAACACCCTACAAACACTTTTGGAACACTAAGAAACCAACCTATGAAACCCGAAAAAGGTCCAAACCATTAAATCAAATTGAAAAAAAAATATTGCATTCTTTATCTAGTTCTGATTTTTAGGTTATATTGAGACTTAAAATAACCATCATAAAACTTCCCTTATCTAATGAAATTTGTTGACATCAATTCTAACTTTTCTTATCTAGCGGAACTGTTGCCATCAATTCTAACTTGTTTGGTGATTGAAATCATCATCATAAAGAGCTTTCTCTCCCTTTTCTAAAATCTAGTGACTCCTCTTTCTTCTCCTATAAAAAAACATTGAAAAATAAAACTAGTATTAAAAAGTATTTTTTAAAAAATCAAAGGGACTGGCCAAATCATAGCAAAAAAAGCTTGAGGACTAAAATATACTATATAAAAAAATTTGAAAGTGTCACTTATGTTACCCATTTTTTCTACTTCAATTTTTTGTACTTCAATTCATTGTTTTTCAATTCAACCCTCCCTAAAAAAAACATGTAATTGGATGCTAATTTTGACTTAAAATGACTTAATTATACAAAGAAAAAGTTTAAGAATTAAATTAAAATTTTTAAAAATAAATCACACAACACAAAGCTTTGGTTTTTGTTAATTACTTCCAATGATGTTGAGTTTCAATTAGCAAAACTCATTTTCATTCTAAAATAATTGGAATATAGAATTAAAATGAAAATTACATTTGAAATAGTTGATTGAATGTTTTGTTGTCAAAATAATTGGAAAAAATCTTTGAGATTAATGATGTACTTTTATGTTACAACCTAAGACAAATTATGTCTTTGTAATCTTGATTGTTTTTATAATAATAATAATAATGCTTAAAAAGTGAGAATGAGGATTGATGAGGTTATTGTATATGAAATTAGTTTAGGAATGAGGTTTATGTATTGAATAATCTGATCATCTTTTAGTTTAAATAATTTGATTTATTCTTCCTAACTAAAATGTCTAGTGATTTGATATAAAAAATTTAAGTGATTGGTAGTTGGTGGTGTCTAGTAGTTAATATTGAAAAAGATTTTTCTTTATAGATAACTCTCATATATTTAAATATTTTTTTTAGAAAAATAAAATGCAATGATATTTTAGAGATATAGACTCTGAAAATATACATATTAACTTTGATATTGAAAGATTCATGATATATTTTATAGCCCACAAGTCTTTTTATTATTATTTTATGGAGATGAGGGACTAAAGTATAAATTCACCCTCATTTTGAATTGTATTTTATTTAAAACGTATTAGATCGATATAAGATGTTAAAGGATCCGGGTGAGGTTATGAAATTTTTTTAAGAGAATGTGGGATTCGAACAAAGAGTCTAGATGCGCTACTTGGACTCAAATATATTAACTTGAAGCATGGTAGCTTGAGCCCATGTAGATGTTAGACAGCACGCTCAATGTTGATTTTGGTTACCATACTTGAATCTATAAAAATATTTTCTTGAGTCTTTTAAAAGATTTTTTAAGATAGTAAAATATAGTTTGTGAGTGATATTTATTGCAAAGAATGCATAGAATATACACATAAATGAATTCATAATCTAAGAATTTGCTAAGCAAGTCTCTCCTTCCTTAAAAAAATGTTATCAAATCCAAGGTGTTGCCAGATTCTTTTGCATATTAAAGATGCAAGTCCATTGAAATGTAAATCAAATTACTGATGAAATCCATTGAAATGTAAATCAAATTACTGATGAAAGTCCATGTAATTTTCTCTATCTTCAAGTGATACAGTATGTTTACAAGAGAGGATAACTAGTGGAAAATGATGAAACGGAGGGATGGATATGGGCTGGTCCATCTAGTTGTTGTGAAAAAAATTGACCCATTTGTATATTACAGTTTAGAAAATAGATCTTAATACGGTGACGCATCTATCCCTGATGATTGCAATACGAGGACTAAAATAATCTCAACTTAATTTATTATTATTTGATAAGCAATTTCCAAAGGCACATTTGTCATATATTTTGTACAAAACACAGATGTATTATAATGCAAAGGGTGATTTTAGCAAAATTATGGAAGGTATTTTGTTTTCCTTTACCCAAATTCAAGTGATCAAATTCGTACTTCTAGCAAATTGAATTCTTGAGTTGAGATTGTATCTCCAACACCGTGACAATTATGACCGTACATAGCATAGAAAGGGCAAATTTTATTAGTTCAAGGGCACTAATTGGAATTGAATTGCCAACACTAGGCCAGGCGAGCAACACAACAAAGATCTCTATGCTAGCCAATTTACTAGATACGACCACTTCATGGTGGTTTTCATTCAACTCTTTGGATTGGTTCTTCATACATAGGGTTAGCTAATAATTTAGGTTGCTTCGTGTAATGTGGAACAGCAGTCTGCTCCGCTTCCATGGTACAACTTGGACATGGGGTTATTAATTTCGCTGCAACAAGGAAAGTATGGAACTGTTCGTGTCCTACTGGCCTCAAGAACTCCAGCTCACCATCACTTCTTTCATGAAGCAGACACTGCATCTTCCTCCTCTGTACCTCATCCTTCACTCTCTAGAAAGGGAAAACAGAAAGCAATAAATACCCTCAACAAAACATTCTCAGCTTATTGCAGATAGAAATCCAAGATATGCAGACAGTGGTGAAAATATCATATGCTTCATTTTGTAGCTTTGAAAATTTTTCACGAGGAATCTATATCTACCGCTACTACAAAACAAAGACGCAACTCTAGAATTCCAAGAAGTATTCAAAGCATTCCTAAGATGCCCTGCACAATCTTTGCCTTCCCACAATTTAGAAACTTAATTGCCATGGTTTTGGATCCAACACGTCCATCCTATTCAGGAAGCTAGTAGCTTAACTGCTAGCCAAAAAAGTCCACAAGGAGCAGATTCCTAGAAACTAACCATGCCTGTCATTCACATTTGGAAGAGGCCTGTCATCATTATAAAATTTCATTTAAAACAACCCTTCATTTAAAATACGAATATATAAAGAGTAGAAGAAACGCTCTTAAATCAAGTTCTCATGCTCAAGCTGAGAATGAAGTGTAAGAATATTGCAGTAACATGCCTGATGAGATTGATAATTTCTTTTAGAGACTGGTACTAAATTATTACCGGCAAATTATTGGAATCATCAGTGTCTGATTCTCTAGCACTCTGATGTAACTATCATCTTTTAAGAAAGTAACTTGATGATCTACCCTAGATGAAGCAAGTTCATGCATTGCATCATTTATTTAAACCCAATTAAAAACCTACCATCCCTTTCCATATTTACCATCTTTTGACACTAAAATTGATGACTTAAGTCTGCAGCCTGTCCTTCGAAATATATGAAATTGGTGTCCAGCTATAAGAATTGATTCCTTTTAAAAACTTTTGAAAGCAAAAGATTTCTAAGGCAATGATTTCTCGACAGAAAGATAGCTGTTCACCGAAATCCCTCTTCAGTATCAAGCAGTAAATGCTCTGTCCGAAAATTCACATGCTAGATTATGTTTAACAGCTCAATATCAACGTATCCCACTCATTTATGATTTTCAATCGTAATTTTGTTTCCTAGTTTCTCAGAACAACCATATCACCAACTTTCAATCAAAAGATACTTTCACATCTAGCACATGCATCAACGGGTAACTGATCATCAAAACAAACTCTCTAGCAACAAAACAGTAAAAAAGTTTGGAAACAAACCTGCAACAATCTTGTGTCAAACTTAGGCAATCCAACTTGTTCAACAGAAAGGGAGCCAAACAAGTTTCCCAACAAAGCAGCATCAGGCACAGCCAATCCTTGAACCAACCCCGCCACAAACCCCCCAAAGAAACTATCCCCTGCACCGGTAGGATCCTCTTGATTTGCCAAAAACGGCGAAATCCCCAACTCCCCGTCTTTCCAATACACTTTACAGCCATGTTTCCCGTTAGTCACCACGACACAACACCACTTCCTCACCTCTTCCACATCCATAAACACCGCCTCCTCCGATGACGCCTTTAAGACCCCAATTCGGGGTAACAACGGATAAAAGCCTGTCTCCTCTAATTTAACAAGCTTAACAGTCCCATCAACGCTATCAAAAACCCTGATTAAAGCTTGAATATCAGCAAATACAACATCACAAATCTCAATCATTCTCTCAAGCGTCTCGGGCAGTATTTCCCCGCCAACACCAACTCCCATTCCATACTTGAACCTCGTATCTGGAAGATCCGATGGCCTAATCGGGTCACAAGCACAGACCCGTTTTAAGATCCGATCTTGATGATCATTTCCATGAAGACCCGGATCAAAATAAGAGTGGAAAACAGTAGTTTTTAAAGTGGGAATTACAATTGGGGTATAACTAACTGGGTATTTAAAATCTTCCCCAACTTTCGATACTAAATTACAAGAAATTGACACTCCATTGAAAACATTGGAAATGACAGAGGCTGCACCACCAAGCGATACAGCTTTAACGGCGTTTTTTTGGATCAAAACATCGTGGCAGTAATTGCCCACAATTAAAACACGGCTTTGCTGATGGCTTTTGTGGACCGCTGACTCCGCTGTTGTCACCATTGTCGAGAAGTTGATGTAATCGTCGAAGGTTTGCAGTTCATGAGCGAGAGAGAGCTAGACTTGGAAAGGTCATGTACAAAAACACGCTTACGAGAAATGAAGGATAGGGGTGTGGCTGCCTGTGTTTGTGAGTGTTTAAGGAATGTACAAAAATGGGCTATGTGTCGAAAGAAAGAGGACGCGCGCCAAACATAGAGAGTCCGTGTGGCTTTGTACTGCGCAGAGAGAGAGAAGATTTTTGGTGCTGTTTAATGCTTGTTTTGGAGGGAGGCAAGTTACAAATACGAGACTCCTTTTCATATTTTTTAAAGCCGATTTAGGTTGACTCGGTTATGAGGCTGGATGTTAAGTTATATGAGTTAAACTAGTTTAATTTAAAAAAAATATATTTAAAATTTTAATATTTTATATGTAAAAATTGAAAAATATTTTATATAAATATAAATTATATATATATATATTTATATTACAAATGAAAAAGTTAAACAATATTTCATGAAGATTATATATATAATTATCCTATATAGAAAAATTAAGAAACATTTCATACTATATATATATATATATTCCATGTAGAAAAGTTAAAAAATATTTCATATAAATATAGTTATTCAAAAAGAAAAGTTAAAGAAATATTTTATAAGAATGTAAACTATAAAAAAATTCACAAATTAATTTTATATCTTTTAAATTTTTTTTAAAAATTAAAAAAACATCAAGTTTTACTCCAATTATATTATATCACTTAGTTTTAGGTTGATTAGATGGGTAACTCAAAGTTAACTGACTAATAACAAATTCAAGTTTTGATAATTTAAAATCTGACCAAGACTACTCCAAATCAATCAGCCGTGGGAGGCCAAATTTTATATCTTTGCTCTTCTCTTAAAGCGCTAAACAATTGAATGGTATTGATGATGGGTGGATGGTGCAATTATACACACATATTGGTCGTTTAATAACACTAGAGAATCCTCAATCCTGGCATAGTTTTCGACCAAAATATACATGTGCTTTCATTGAATGTTAATTTGATTTGTTATACATCAACAATCACTTTGTCAATGTCCTTTAAGATTCTTTTCTCTGCTTGGTGTAAACTACCTTTTCTAGGTGAAAAAGAATATTTTTTTATACAAAAATAGAGCTTGCACTGCATGTATACGTATGTATTATTAAAGATTATTTGATATTGTAGTAATGATAATTAATTTTTTAAAAAAGCATAGTTAATTATGAAAATAAATAGTACCTTCGTTAAACATGCTCTAAAAAAATACACCAGGATTTATCTTTTCTATATAATTTTTTTTTTTAATGTTGTCAACTTTTTTTTTAAAAAAAAATAGACACGTATTTTTTATTGTATTTTTTATTGTGATATACAACAATTCTATTTGTATAGTTTTCAACACTAAAGAGGTAGTTGAAAAATCACATCTAGTGTTTTGGATTCATAAATTTATTTTTAATCTATTTTCACCTAAAACCATCTAATAAACATCCATATAATGTCAATAAATCAATCCATCAACTCAAAACACTCCTAAAATAGTTTTAAAAAAAATCAAATCATTTTTTTCTCAACCCTAATCTACTTTTTTTTTTCTAGATGTTTGCAATATGTCTCTCAATATTCCAATA